ATCCTCTTTGGAGTTCTTTCAGTTAGCACAACAGGTACTAACGTAGGTTTTTCGTAAAAGTGACGTGGCCTAACACAAGCTTTTGAAAAGTGGAGGATACGTGTATTTGTCTTTTCCCCTCTCTGACTTATTTCATTTAGTATAACGTATGGAGGAGAAAATGGTAAATTCAACTTGAACACTGAATTGGAGAACTGAAATGGAGATATCTATGGGACCACAAAGTAGAAAGGGTAGTAAACAGTTAATAGACAAAACTTTTTTGAAAGAGAGAAATCTTGGAAAGGAATTGCTTAGGACTTCAGGAAGCCAGGAGAAGGCACCAGTGAGGGGACGAAGACGAGGTTCAATCCTTTACTGGATTTAGCACCAATCCATGTACAGTGTTTACAAAGCAACTGCCACTGGGGCTGATGATGCTTGTGACAGAAATGTGTAAACTTTCTTTTTTGCAGGAGTGAATATAATCCGATAAAGTGATCACAATCCTGGATCAAGAACAGCAAGGAAAGCATAAACTGAATTATCAACCCCAAAGATGAGCTGAAAAAATGTTCTATCAAGTATTTATTTAAATTGTTAATCTAATGAAAACCATTTTATTTTTGTACAGAGCCATGGTATACATTAACAGGTTAGTATAAAACAAAGAATTCTTGAGGACTATAAGAAATGGAATTACTACTTTTCCTCCCATTTTTTCTCATGAAAAGTTTCCTGTTTACTTGGTACAAACAGGGAAAACCCTAAACATACATCTGGGAGAAACACAGGTCTCTTACTCAAGTGTGGTAGATGATAATGCCCACAGAACACCACTGTCCTGAACTACTCTCCAGTTACCGACCAAAATCTAAACTGAAGATACCTACAAGGCTTTACCACTGCAGAACACACACAGATCATTTTCTGAACATGTGCGCAACCTACCCATCTTTGGTTGTGGGCACCAAAAATATTTCCTAATCCTCCAGTTCTATTATTCACTTATTCAACTAACAAATACTTGGTAAAAATCTACTAAAAGGTTGCCCCTTCCCATCTACTCCTGTACACACACTTTTAAGAGTCACTAGATGGGGGCAGGCTGAGTGGCTCAGCTGGTGAGAGCACGTGCTCCTAACAACAAGGTTGCTGGTTCGACTCCTGCATGGGACGGTGGGCTGTGCCCACCCACAACTAAGACTGAACACAGCACCTTGAGCTGAGCGGCTGGAAGCTGCCAACAGACAGCTGGATGGAGACTGGACTTGGAGCTGAGCTAGCTGC